ACGATGGTTGTGAATTGCCACATCAGTGCTGGGAACCAAACTTCAGTCCTCAGTAAGAGCAGCCAGTGTCCTTAACTGCTGAACTGTCTCTCCAACCCCAGGACGGCACTAAATTTTAACTGATGAGCCTCCTGGATGGAAGGGGGGTGGGGAACCTCTGGCCCATGAAAGAACTGAGCCAAGTCAGTTTTGGTTGAATGGGTCATGTATGGGTCATGGCACCAAGCCAGGACAGACAAGATCACTGGCCATCTGAATTAGAACTGATGATTCCCGGGGCCTCTGCAAGACCCATTCAGGGCGAATTAACCTGTGGCCATGCACAGTACTGAAACCGTAGGAGTACCTGATCTCAAAATGGGAGCCATGGTCTGAAGCTGGAGATCCAGTATGATGCCTGTCACCAAGGTCTGTGCTCACAGCTGTGAGCATTGGCATCACTGGCTTGCAGGCACTCAGCATTAAGCTTGTAGTGCTCATAGACTGGGAGGGCCATTGGCACAGACAGAGGTAGGCACACACATCACAAATAGTGCCCTCCCCCTACGGGAAGGCTCTAACATCCACCCGCATCCTATGGGTTCATATGATTTCAAAAGCAGCCTTTTGAATCAGTTCTGCACTTCTTCTGCCTGCCACCTGTATCTCAGACATTCCCCTGCTTGGCAGCCTTCCCTGGGCTCCCTCCACACAGAAGGCCTGAAGAGGAGGCTGGAATGTGTGTGAAGGAGTAGAAGGAGCAGCAGACAGCCGCAAGCGCTTCCTGGCTCCTGCCAGGGCACTCCTAGCCCTCTGCCTTGTGTGTGCAGGATTCCACTGGGTGCCAGTCTGGGATCATCAATCAAAAGATGAGGGCATTTTGAACATCCCAAGTTTCGTTTAGAGATCAAATTTCAAGGTTTTGACTGCATCTGGAATATTTGCCTTGAGAGTGGCTACCACAGCCCAGGCCGAACAACTGCCATTGGCCTTGAAGTAAGCAGAAAGCAGAGGACAAGGACATGGGGACACACAGAAAGAAATCATTCCACCCCAGTCTAGTCTGGTGAGCCAGTGAGTTTACTGAAGTCCTTACAGGTCGGTGGGTATGAGGTTCCTTAAAGGAGCACACAGCTGCATCACTAAGACGCCTAGCCTGGCTTGGCTGACTCACACTGCTGCTGCTGAGGTCACTTTAATGGACTTTGAGAATCTGTAACCTTCTGAATTTCCTGAGCCTTGTAAATGTATTTTGCTCCCAGAGTCTTATGAGTCCGCTTAATTCCTCCTGTGAGGAAATGTTTCAATTCATTGGAAACAGTTGCAGAACAGATTCGTCACAGATGGACTGGGTTGTGTGGGCACAATCACTGCTTCCCTTTGAGCTGAGGCTAGTTCTCAGCCACGGCTCCTAAGAGGTCCCATGTCCATCAACAGTCAAGTGGTCTGGACTCTGACTTACTGCTATAGGATGCACAGATCTCAGTCTCAGTGGGATTCGACCCATCCCATGCTTGTATTTCTATTTACACATCCCAGGAGTGCATACCAATAAGGAAGTCTATAATGATTTTCAACATATTCCCAACATTCTATCGCCTAATGGTTTTCCAGCATTTTTTACAGTGCAGGACTTTGCCTTTGCTGTTCCTAGTGAGTGTTAATAGAAAGGGTTAAAATGTCATCAGCTTGGAGACACACAGTGGCTCTGCCTGCACTTGCTTGTGGCCTGGGCCATTACTTCACCTCTATGGGTCTCTACCTCCTTTCCCATAAAATACAGTACCTCACTAGCTGATGAGGAGATTTGTTAAACACAAGAACTGTACGTGGCAGAGGCCTGGCGTGCGGTAGGTGCCCAACACGGTTAGTTGGCTCAGTTGTCCTCACTTCTTTTTTTCTGTTCTTTTTGTCTTAATCTACATCTGCCTGTTCCGTGTCTGAAACAGTGAGCAAAGACTGTTCTAGATTGGCAGAGAAGACAAATCAAGCAAAAACTAGAAACCGACACCACAGATTCCTCCCCATTTTTAAAGGAACTAGAATGGAAGTAAGGGTCAGCCATGAAAGATCCTCTTACATTTGGGTCTCTCCCCCTTTCCTTTCCTCCCTCAGTCTTTAGTTCTCCGCTTACTTGTTCACCAGAGTAGAGTGGCCGTTGTCCCCATGATGTGCAGGGTGGACAAGCCAGAAAGTCAACAGTAACTTTAAAGAGAACAGAGCTGCCCACCATGGTTGGGCTTTCCCCCACCAGGACCATGGGAGGAAGGCAATCCATGAGCAAAGGTTTCATGGCAATGGCAATAAGTTACCACAAAGCAAGTTCTCAGTGATCTCACCCCTCTGCTTTAAATAAACTGCTTTAGAAATACAAAGTGATGAAGCCACGGTGGGCAGTTGGCCGGATTAACAGACACCGCCTGGACTCTAATATAAGAATTAGGGGCGTTGCATATGGTGTAGAGGAGACGGGGCTCTTGGCCTCGGATGCGCTTGGCTGGCTTTTGTGGTATCAGGCCTTTGTTCTAAGTTGAATCTCTTTCAATCAAGAATCCAACCCGCCCCCTGTCAAATTCAGTTTGTGTTCTTTGTTGCCCATCTATACAATGTTGTTTTCATGTCTGTGTGCTTACATGTCAAATTGTACACAGTTACAGTCTTGATGTTTTCAGAGTAAGACTGTGGGCTTTTTCCAAGCACATTCCTCATTATACGAACAAGGAAACAGGACAACATGCCACAATTTTTTCCCCAGTAACTACAGTGCTTCTGAGGAAGAATCATTGCAGGAATTAAAAAAAAAAAAAAGTAGCCAAGAAAGCAACTAACTACAGTTTTGGCGCTTGGGATGTCCAGCCTTTAAGGGTTATTCATGACTGTAAAATGACTACACCCTATTTCCTGCCTTTACTTAGTTTCTTGGATCACATACAGTATTCCTGAACACCATGCCCTTCTTTCTCTCTTCCTCCACCCTTGCTCCACACCCTCACTCACCCCAGTGAAAGGTGATAACGTCCCATATCTGGCTTGATGCCCCTGGTGTTAGACTGTCACGCCGAAAGCACAGGCCCAAAGTAGCTGACAGTAGTTAGTGTCTCAGTCCCACAGCAGTCAGAGCTGCTGCTGTGAACTCAGCTAATAGCATCTTGTACTATGTTAGAATTTAACTACTCGGCTCCAGGCTACTGATATACCCAGCTTCACATACCTCTCACCCTCTACAAAGGATGTGGGAGAGCAAGAATCTTTAGACCGACATACGAACACAAAGCCCATGATCTGATTCTTTTCTACCTGAAAACTATCTTTGTCTCTTTTTGCATAGTCATCACATGAGGCTTAGTCACTATTGCCGTGAGAGTATGTTATAAAATTAGGCCAGCAAAACTTTCCACAAAGAAAGGCACCAAATGCTGACAAGCAACATGGGGCAATAATAACAAGAAGGTCTCAACTGGGGTCTTGTTAAACTTCTAAAGACTTATTTATTTGATGTGTATGCCGGTGTGCCTGAGGGTGTGCATGTGCAGCACATAAGTGCAGTACCCACAGACACCCAAAGAGGGCGTGGGATCCCTGGAACTGGAATTGCAGGCAGTGGATGGAGAATCGCCTTGTGGGTGCTGGGGATCCAAACCAGGTTCTTCACCACTAAACCATCTCTCCAGCTCCCTGTTACACTTTAAACTGAAAGTTTCCAGTTAGTAGCTAGGCTGTTTCTCATTCCGAGTCAGCCAAAGTCAGCCAAAAGCGAGAACAACATATCCATGTGCTTCTCAACCCAAAGAACTTCATTCATCAGCTCCTGGCTTAGAATTTGATAAGTTTTCTGTGGGCTTCTTTTTTTTTTTTTTTTCTCTTTTGAGGTCAAACACTTCTAAAGAGGAAAAAAAAATGGGGAGGAGAGATTCTGATTACTCTCATGTTGTTCCTTAGATATGGTCAAACTGAGTAGCAGTTTCTGTATCCACACTCTCTGGTTCCCAGCCTGTGAGCATGTGGGTATAGAACTGTCCTGCAGGGAGAGCTCTTCCCAGTGTCCCAGAATTCCAGGACTCCATGTCTGTCCCTTTGGAGATTGAGTTGTTTTTTGTTTTTGTTTTGTTTTGTTTTGTTTTTTTTAAGCCTATCCAATATCTCTGCCTGGGTCTGGCTTGCTACATCACTCCAGTCAGAAATACTATTGTTGACTAGCATTGGGTTTGTCTTTCTCTCTCTTTTTTCTTTTTTAAATCGAGACCCCTTCCCATGTGACCCCTTCCCATAAGTCTTTACAAGCATTCCCCGTGGCTCAGCAGGTCCGCAGTCTTTGCAAGGATACCTGCAGCCTGTGTGGTGATTCTCGGCAGCGGCTTCAATGTGACCCGTACTTTGCATTTGTTTCATGGTGATTAAAAACTGGGGAAGCAGACAAATTAAGGGAGCATGGGTGGGTGCTTAGTAAACAACCCTGCACAGGTCATCTCTTTAGCTGTTGTCTGTGAGAGCCCTTGATGCTCCATCACATGGTGGTCCAGAGGGTCTTTATGTGCCTCTGGTTTCAACATAGGATTAAAAAGTTTGTTTTTTTCTTTGAAACGTTTTATTTGATTAATTCCGTTGTAATGAAGGCTAACATTTTACACCCAGGGACCCGTGCTTATTTGAAATGATTTATTTAAGCAACACAGCTACCCCCCCCCCCTTTTTTTTTTAAACCTAGTTGCGGCTGACGTTAGGAAGCCGAAACACTTTCTCTAACTTTCATAACCTGAAAGGGTTCCTATGCCAGGGCTTGTTCGGCCCCTCTTGAATTCTCTGTGCCTCTCTCCTCTCTCGGCTCTGGGGTTCGGGGTCTTGGTCAGCCCCAGGCGCTTCCATGCTCTATTTGCTTTAAGCCCGGTGTGAAGGATCTGCTGGTACAGCTTCTCGGCCGGCTCGGGCCAGACAGCACGCCCAGTCCCCTCTCCGCGCGCTTTGATTGGCTCCCGGGGTCACGTGAGGGACCCGGAGGGTTGGAATTCTGACTTGTGGCTTTTGGCACTCCTTTTTCTTTTTAAAAATCGCTGGGTCTGTGGCTGTCTCCTGGGGCTTGGTGCCTTTGACCGAGGCTGGAGACAGCTGCGAACAGCCACGGGCAGCTGAGGTGGCCGTGGGAGCTCCCCCGAGATGTTCAGCCAGGTGCCCAGGACCCCGGCTGCAGGCTGCTACTATCTAAATCCCATGACACCTGAGAGCCAGGAGATGTACTTGCGATTGGATCAGACTGCCAGGCGCTCTCCCTACAGGATGAGTCGGATCCTAGCACGCCATCACCTAGTGACTAAAATTCAGCAAGGTGAGTTGCGGGCACTGCCAGGGTGCCACTCATTTCGGTTGGCTCTATCTTGTGCTGCTTACAAAGTTATTGTTCGCACTGAACACCGCACGGATTCCTATGCCACGCTGCGGGGGAACTCTTCCAGATAACTTTAGACTCCAGTTATAAGCAGTCTGTGACAGCACTGAGCGCCGCAGAACTCACAAAAATATTTCCCAATTGGACACGAATCATGAATTCCAAATCCTCTGTGTGTCAACAGAACAAATGGGAAAGGTTTACTCAGTGTGTGTGTGTGTTGGGTAGCTTTTCTGCAAGTAAACGCATACTCCGGTCACATTTTAAAAGTGGACACTTGTTTATTTAATTAAGGAGAGACCAGAGGGTTAGGGACTAATGTCCAGCTTGCCTGGAGTTTATAGGACGTCTTCACTGAAGGGAGCAGTGGGAATAGAATCTGTGCTGAAGGCCACTGGGCTGACAGCTTGAATTACATTCTTTTCCTGCCCGTGTGTTTGTGTGGATAGTCACCACTGATTTGTTGATACTGTTTTCTTGCTAAAGGATAAATGTGACTCTTCACCTCAAAGCAGAGCCTGTGACTACACACACTTAGGAGCACTGGCTTCCTAAGGCAAAGGGACAGTACTGATTATAGGCAGTTAGGCGATCCTTTTTAATTCTCAAAGGGGGGGGGGGAAACCCTTGTACCCTGAACATTAATAAAACTCATGTTTTGTTTCATTTAAAGGCTTAAAGCTTAAAACACACTTTGTACGGCATAGAATGTAAAGGAAGCCCCTGAGCTAGTGACCATTTTAAAAGACAGACACATCCGGATCCACAGTCAGGACATAGTCACTACCTACTAACAACAAACCTAACTAAATCATTCCGTTGGCCCTACCAGGAATTTCAAGACAATTATGAAAATGGAGTTCCCACTTAAATACGTGTATTTGAGACTATATTGAATTTTAGAGGGGAAGCTAAGGTCTGCAATCTTAAAAGATCTCACTGTAATGTCTCCAAGAGGAACAATACGTATTCCAGCCGGCGGCATCTAATGAGATTGTTTCCTTGGGAATGGGCATTTGTTTGTGAAGGTTCAGGAACTGGCTATGTGTGAAGGATACTGGTGCCGCATACCATTCTGATTGCAGGAAGGATATTAAGTCACTCCATGAACTCTGTGTGCAAGTCTCACTTGAATAGAAACAAAAGTATTCCCTGTGGCTTGATTTAAAAATATATTTAGCTGAGAATGAGAACCAGCTCCATATTTGATTTAGAAACTTCTTACGGTGGGGGCGTATTAGGTATATTTTCTGTTGGACATTGGGACTTTGTAAGCAATGTGAATCTGTTATCTGCAAGCTGTGCCAATCTCTCCTTATCATATTAGAAACAGCCTATCTTTCCAATCCTCTTTATATGTATCGTCGGTCATTGATTTATGTTCTTTTGGGATGATGGTTGTTTTTCATGAATTACCATCGAAAGTGGATCGTTCTTACATATGGCACTATAACCCTGTCTGTGTTTTATTTTTGAATAATTAGAAAATTTGAGGCGCCTCCTTGTTCTATATGGGGTAATGGAAAGATTGAAGCCAAGGGATTCCTAAAGGTTAAAAGCAACAGTTAGGAAACAGGAAAGAATTCCCACCCTCTAGTGATTCAGAAATCATGATGGGTTAATATACAATGTTGGGTGAGCAGATACAAAGTGATTTTTATCAGATTTGCCATACTGATAGATTGTGATTCTTCTCACAGCACATGTTATTAATGGAGCATTTGCAACATATCAGGATGTGAGAGCTGTGAATGCTGACTTACCTTTCTCTCAAAAAAGTGCTAATCGTTTGGTGCCATTTTAGATCTATTGTAAAGATGAGAAAACAGGCACATGATGCTTAGAGTCGTACAGTGGAGCTGGCCTCTGAGACTCATGCTCTTCAATGCGCTACACTGTGTGTGTGTGTGTGTGTGTGTGTGTGTGTGTGTGTGTGTGTGTGTGTGTAATGAATGTTAGATAAAATGCTGGACCTACGGTTGGGTTTTGGGTTCTGTCGTACACCAAAGATCTCGTTGGTGTACTCCATTACAGAATCCCAGTTGGCTTCTCATTGTGTGATTCCAGTTAGGTTTTACTTCTGTAGTGGGAGCAATGTGCTATGAGTTTGGGTCTGTTTGGTTTGGTTAGTACGCAGATTACTAACAACCTTTAATCATTCCATTAAAGTAAAGTTCATATAAAATTAATGTATTGTATTTGTATATCAACATCTTAAAATGACAGTCACAGCAGCAAAATTTCAGCATCTTGCTTTAGATCTTTCAAAGAAACTTTTCACTTATTAATGTCATTTGCGGCACCACGATTATGATTTCTTGTGGCTGGGGGTCGAGTACAGAGAGGAGCAAGTTGCTCTCTGATGACCTCATTCTAGTGAGCTAATCATTGAATGGCATGGGCATGATTCAACAGCAGATATGCTCATGGGAAGAGAAAACAAGGGAGAGAAATAATGGAACCCTTTGATGATGCCTGAGACCAGAATTGTTGCCCGAATCCGAGATGAATCAAGGCTTGCTTGTCTTAGGGCGTACTCCAAAACATGCACACATCGTTTCTCTAGCCTCTTATACAACTGCTCTGTAGTTAATTCCAGTTAAAAAGAGAGAGGTTTACAACAGAGTGCTGGACAGCAGAGCGAGAGCCCACCGGAAGTCACATTGCTCTGATGGCCGCCCTTTCCAACCCGCTCTTGCTTGACTCAATCTGGAAATCATCATGGCAGAAATAGAAAGGAGGTGACAGTGGTCCTCACCAGGACCTCACTAGCTCTTTCCTTCACTAGGAGGCACCGTGGAGAGAGAACAGAGGATGTGGGTGTAAGGTATAGTTAGGCCATGGCAAGAAAGAACTGGATGTTTCCCAATATTATCGTAGTAAAATATACACAACCTGAACAGCAGCTGCTTTAGAGTGTGTTGAATGGTCGTCCTCATCATGTCTGCGGCCACCGTTACCGTCCATCTTTTTCCATCTTGCTGAAACCGAAATTCTCAGTACGCCTGTTAAACACTAGCTTCTCTCCTGCCTCCCATCGGCCCTGCCTAACACTGTCTTGCTTTTCTCTGAATTATAGTGTTTTCACCAGATTTGTCTCCTTCCGAATGCTGGGTAGTATTCCGTTGTGTGTCTATACCATACTTCCTTTTTAAAAACGCAGTTACCATAATTGGTGTGCTGTAGGAGAACTGGCCTTCCAATGTCGTTATTTTAGGGTATCAAAAAATATCTTTTCATACACACACACACACACCCTACTTGCAAATTCAAGCAGATCCATAAATGTGATTATTTTTGAAGAAATCTATCATGCTTTTTATTTGAAATTCTCAAAACCATCATGACATGGCCCAGATTTCAGTAAAATCTACCTACAAAAGAAAAAAGAGGCGGGGATCCAGGCTCTGTTTAACACTGTCCATCTTTATGATAGCAGTTTCCAGGGCATCACTGGGCCTTTGCTTTTGAGTGAGCAATGTGGACAGACTATGACTTGCTCTAGAATTCTCTGTAGCCATATCAGTAATTCTTTGACTGCAAGTAGAGAAAGCTGAGGGACTTAAATCCAACTTGAGAACAACCGCAAAGGAGTCACTGCATCTCTGCCGTCTGTGGGGTCACGGGCCTCTGCTGTCTGTGGAGGCATCTCAGCCATCCGTGGGGTCATGGCGTCTCTGCTGACTGTGGGGTCACAGCATCTGCCGTCTATGGAGGCAAGGCGTCTCTGCCGTCTAATCAACTGGCGCTTCTAATTTTTCTGTTTTCTGAAGAAAGCAGTAAAGCGAATTCAGGTTTTTGTTTTGCTCTTGCTACTAACTTCTCGTATGATTTCGGGGAAGTCACAAGTCCCCTGAAACTTCTTTCAAACAACAAGGGTTGGATTAATCTCTCTGTAAAGTGCCTTCGTGTCTGAAGTTGGAGAATCCCGTGTTCTCAGGTATCCCTTGAGAAAAGGACGATTCTTACTCCAGTTTTCCGTATTGTGTTGCTCAGCATCCCCTTGCTTAGGTCTGACCCATGTGCTCTTGTTATTTATGTCCTGAGACCGTAAGAATGTGCGGTCTGTGCTCTATTTAAATGTTGTAATTACTATAATTATAGAGGAACTTTTTTTTTCCCTCAGGGGTCCTGGCCTTAATGTGACATTGTTGTCATGTCCAGCTGATATCAGGGGTGTGGAAAGTAGAGAATGTCTGTGTGTGCTCTTGTGCTCACCACAAGATTTCTATGCTTGATAAGAACAGAGAATTCAGAAAATCTCACTGCTAGGGAAAGTAGCGGGAGCTGGGCTTTCGTTTTTCCTTGACGTTTAATCTCAGATGAATTTAAACAGACACAGTGACAGCCCCAAACTTAACTAAAGTGGCGCATGCTCAGTCCCCAGCTAATTCCAGCGGGTGTGAGTGGCATATTTTCTCTCCCTCATTACTCTGTCAAATGGCATCTTGGGAATTTGCCCAACCTAAGTGGTGAGCACTGCCTGTCCCCGATGAGTGAGGACCCTCACCCACCGCACCCCGACTGAATAGTGTCAGCCTAAATTAAACCATCATTTGTTCCCCTGAAGTATTTGGTCCTCTCTGAATCACAGGGTGAATGTGACGCAAAGGAACAGAGGAAGCACAGAGAACAGGCTGGGAATGCCGTCGCCCATCCATGTTGCCCAAGCTTCTTGAAAAAGAGAGTGTGGCAATTGGCATAAGTCACATTTTCTAAATCAGAGCCTGTTTCTCTTGAGTGGGGGTTGCTGGAGGGCCTGTACAGAGAGGGTACTATTTAACCACAGTTACAGGAAAACAGGCTAGTGGCTTAAGCCAAAAACTTCAGACAGTGTTTAGAACTTTACTACCTAGTAGAAAGAAAAATGTGAAGGTCAACCAGTATACCCCAGAAAGAAGTTAGAGAAAGAGAGATATGCTTATGAACATAAAGACCAT